GATAGGCAGAGGAGAAGCTGAGGATGGCGGTGGCTGTGAGTTCCTCTTCTATGTGACAGGCAGAGGAGGGGCCGAGGACAACGGTGGTAGTGCTCACAAAGGCAGCAACTTGACCCTCTTTTAAGATCAAGTAATGTGGGTGACAGACACTACATGGAAGCAGATAGAAGCATTTTTGACTATTCGAGCATTTTTGCTTTTATAGCTAGATAGAAGCAGTTTCATTTACGACTGTATTTTAATCAGTCATATTTAAATTTTAGTTATAAATGATTCTAGTTTCAAAGACAAATCACTTTGTGAAGACTTCTTATTATTCCTTCCACCTATATTTTGTTGCTTCTGTGACACTTTGTATAACATCAATGACAAAAAATAGAGAAACAAATTTTTTTGAGTTATTTTACCCTCTTTTCTATTCGCAAAGTACTTGAGAACATGATTTGATATTAAAAAAATGATAATATCCTTGATAATCGACCAGTGTTTTAATGTTAATTTTTATATTTTAAAGCTAGTATAAATATTAAATTTGATATCCTTTAATTGAAAGACTAAAAATATGATCAAACACTTTCTTTGGAGATTGATAACTTGAGTTCAGGCTAAGTGAGGTGAGCACTTGTTTTGAAAAGACAAGTTGATTTTGGCCCTAGTCCAAATAGTAAAGCACGTTTATGGTGAGCCCTTCACCGACAAGAAGCTCTTTACAAAATGTAAAACAAATTTAATTCTTAGTATATTTGATTCATAAGCACCCATAAGCACCCATAAGCACCCATAAGCATGAAATCATGATAGCGTTTCGGTATACATCTTCTTTGGACATGAGAGAGTTCCATTTGATCATGTTCTCAATAGACTTATATTTAATATTGTTCTTTGTCATTTTTTGTAGCATTGTTTCCCATTTGTAAGAGTATAATATGTTCAACAAGTGGCTGCAGGTGAGCACTTGTTTTACAAGTGTCTACTTGATGTTGGCCCCATTCCAAATAGAATAATCACGTTTATTGCTGCCCTCCACCACAAGAAACTCTGTACAAAAATGTAAAACGAAATTCAATTCTTCCTACAATTTTATTCGTAAGCTCCCATAAGCATGAAATCTGTCTAGCGTTTCAGATTACATGGCCTTTGGAAATGAGAGATTTCATTTGACCATTTTTTAAATGGCCTTTTGTTTAATATTGTTCTTTATCATTTTTTAAGCATTATTTCCTATTTGTAAGAATATAACGTGTTCAACAAGTCACTGCAGTTGTTCCAAGTGCTAGTGAGTAACAAAATAATGCATATTTCATGGGCAAAGGAATCATACATTATAGATTACATTCCTTACAGTGTTATTATTGTTAGCTTTTGGAGCCATTAAGTTTCATGTCCACAATGTAAGTAAAAGGGTAGAATAATGATTTTATATTTCCAAACAACTAAATGAAAATATTGTTTTATAGGCAGCATACTGTACTGAAGAAATCATGTCTGACAGCAAGCAAAAACAAACTCGGCTAAGGCTACATGATAATATAAGGAAAGCGGTAAATTTGTTCAAGGATTCAAATCACCTAGTTCTAATCGTTCATGTGAAATTTTATGATCAAGTAGATCTTTCATGGACGCGGGATATTGTATCCTACAACGATACTGACATCTGATCCTACGACACAGCTAGATAGAGGGATGGGTCTGAACGAAGTCCTATTTTATTTCATTGACTTCAGGCGCTGTTTTCCTCTGTACACTATCTGGAGAGGAAGAGCAAGGACAGCATTGAGATAGGGTACTTCTGGTGGGCCGTGCTGTGCCAGAGATCTACCTCTTTCTGAAGAACCTTCTCCAACATCAGTTTAACGTGCTATGTTTCTAGACTTGCTGTGTCTTGGTCCTTGATATGTTTCTGGGCCTTCTCCTTTCTTTGTCCTTGCTATTTTTTTGTTTTTACTGTAGCGTATACTGGTCCTTCCATAGAAGGCCTTTTGCCTGCATGAAGCTACTACTCCTGCATCCGTTTCGACCTCTCTTAGTTTCATCTTTGTAAGCAATGCATTCCTAGACTTGCTATAAATAATGCATTTCCTTCCAAGTAGATTAGACAAATGTTTGTATTACATTTAGACACTGAGATTTCCAACATAAATTTTATCTTCTGAGAAATTAGACGCAATGGAACAATGGCCAATCATCGGTATTGGTAATTTTTTTTTCCAGTTTTGTCGATTTATTATCTTTCTGATTGGAAAATTTCCATGTTGTATGAAATGATCTTCCCTAGATATCAAAGATATCATTAAAGCATATTTCAGGATGTTCGAATTCACAAGTCATACAAGAGAAGACTTGGAACTCTGATATAATCTGTGGCATTAAAATATTTATCAGTACACAACTCAGAAAAGATCTATAGATCAGTGAAAGTTAAATGCACATTATTTGTTAACTAGGAATTACTCATCTCTGCAACATTTGTCTAGTTCTCTTCTATCCTTGAACGTGTTGAACTTTTGTAAGTTTATTCCTCCATGGTCATGGTAACTTTGGTCAACGCCTATTTACACAATAATAAATGAAAAGATCTTATTCTATTGAATTTTATAAATTTCGATATTACATTTCACTAACAAAAATCACCACTAAGGAATTCGGATTTACTTTCTATTTACTATCTCCGTTTTTCATGATACCATAATTCACAATTCATTTTCTAAACGTGTTCTGCTAAATACAAAGATTGACTTGACCTAACCTAGCCCATCTTTCGGAGTGTAGGGACTATTATTTTGCGCAGGAATCGGGAGCGGGATTGGGTATGTCTCGGCTGGAAGTGGGGTAGGTGCATCTGTGAGTGCTGAGATGCTCTTTTATTCAGATGGCCCTCACATAATAAAGATGCTGTACCCCCTACCCACCTAATCCTCCTAAAAGTATCTAGCGTCCACTTCCTCCCTGAGCATTCCTATATCTAACCCTCTTTTTGTCTAATTAGGTTAGTATCCTTTTCCACTAATGATACCAACCTTGTCTCGTACGCTAGAGGATGACCCACATTTTCTCTACAGAGTTCCTTGTTAGGCGCTCACACACCTTAGATACCTGGTGGAATAGGACGAAAATGATGGTGGAATAGAGATGTATCAAATAAATTCGTTTCAATGCGTTCAATGTGACGAGTTTATGAATTTGGTACTTGCATGCCAATCTGTTCGACCAATAAATACACGAATGAAAAACAATTTCTGCACTGCTATCCATGTTTAAGATGACATTTCGACAGTAATTTTAACATAAAAAATATTTATTTATGAGAAAATAATAATTTCTGCATATTTTACGAACTTTCCTTATTTGTCTCAGTTTCTTAGTCTTGGGGTGTTGTCCACACTAATTTGACACCAATACAGCAGCAAGAAAACCTCACCACAAGACAAAGATACATGATTAATCACTTGCTATGAGTAATAACTTAAATTAAGATAAAGACTGTAGCGCACGCGCATTTAGCAACCTTGCAAGACTGAATCAACTGAATGAATGTCGTTGGGCTATATTGACCGCCATCATGGCTGTCGAAAGAGTTCAGTTGATACACCAGGAAACAGAAATCTAAAGTAATTGCTTATCGGAGAGCATTGATAGAGCCACAAGCATCGCTACATGTTAGAAGAATCTAGATGATCAATCACATGCATGAGATGAAATATAGAAAAGTGAACAGCCTTTCCGGTAAGCGCAATTAATGTAATGTTCATGCACATTAGATAAAACTAGAATACAAAATCAACCAGACTAACATTATTAGGCTGCCGTCTTTGTCAGTACTGTATATTCCTCACTACGCGGATCGTGCTATGCCAGCTGTCCTTTTCGCCACAATATTCAGCTGAGTTACTGTGGATCAGTGGACAATAGTGGTTGCCTATTCATCTGGGGCCATGCCATCAATTTTTGTCCCTGCCCAAGTAAAACAGCTGAGTCACAGCCAGCTAAGTGGCTGAAGTAGATGTATTCAACTCCGGCATTCATTGTAAGTTATCTAAAGAATATAAATACATCCTACAGTTATGTAAGTTGGCTACATAATGTTCTTTATAGTCTTTCTCGAGAATCGATAGAACCACAGACAAAATGCAGAGCATTATAAAATGTAGATGACGCATCACATTTATTAGGATGAATCTGAAATGTTGAGCAAAAGAAGAGATATACTTGGTCAAAAAGATAACCAGTAAGTTACATGAATGTTATCTCGCTAATATTGTATTCACTGATGAATATGAGTCAAAACCTAACATACCATTGGGGCCATGTGAGCTGTCTTTTTCTACGGTTAAATAATTTGGTTAAGTAACCGCCATCCAGGGGGCCATGTGAGCTGTCCTTTTATACGGTTAAATAATTTGGTTAAGTAACCACCATCCGTGGGGCCGCTATACGTGGTTAATTCACTCATCACCGGATAAGTAAGAATGCAGTCATTTATTTTATATGAAACGTAGTTTTAAATTGGAGGATGAATGTCAATTAGATAGTTAACCGTTATCTTGGAGCATTCAAACACCCAGTAAAATAAAGGACGACTTTGACTAAGGCAGATAAACCATGGCTTAAAAATTGAACAGAATATGAAACGACAATAATCAAATAGAGTAATATCAACATGCACTAAGGTAAAATAAATGTCCAAGTCTGTTAGATGAGGATCATTGGACTCACAAGTATATTGGGTCTGAATATAACTCGATATCCAACGCAAGTTGGGCTCATGATAAGTTCAGATGCTTGCCCAAGTAATCTCATGGGTCAGCACTTGTGATGTCGCAGGAATCGATGTTGTCATCCCCTCAGCATTGTTATTATACGTTATGAAAGATGTTTAACTTATTTCGATGATAGTTTACTCGGTGGTTTTACTGATGTTGTTTGTTATAAATACTGATAGGAGTGTTCGCTGCAGCTTGTCATCCCAAGGTCTGGACATTTCATCTTGTGACAAGATCAGGATGGACATTCCCAGCGTTATGTGCATGAAAGGAGGAGAAGAGGAAACTAGCTACACCAAGAACTGTTCCCTTCAGGTTATTCCTTAGACAAAGGGAAAATTCAGCGCCTGGTTTTATTGGTTGGACCTTTGTGTCTATACCTAACACAACTTCTCTGCTCCTCCGATTCCATGCAGGCGAGAGTGATAGACGCTGCGAAGTCGAGTGTGGATGAGGCCGTCGTCAGGCTCTTGTGCGCTACCAATGCCCAGAAACTCACTATCGCTGACCTGGGTTGCGCTTCTGGACAGAACACCTTGTCTGTCGTGGCCAACATTACGGACACCATTGAGCAGACATGCCAACGGCTTGGCCGGTTTCCACCGGAGGTGCACCTATTTCTTAACGACCTCCCACGGAATGACTTCAACTCCGTTTTCTCCTCACTCCAGTCCTGCAAGGCTCGAGAGGCTACAAACTTAGGTCGCTGCTTTATAGCTGGAGTGGCTGGTTCCTTCTATGGGAGGCTCTTTCCGAGGAGGAGCATTGACTTCTTTCACTCCTCTTCTAGCCTCCACTGGCTCTCTCAGGTTTTTTTTCTTTTCAAGATAAATCGTAAAATACTAATAAGAAGAGGCGAAGAAGAAGAAGATGTTGATCTCAGCGATTTATTTTTTTCCAGTTCTGGTCTTACGAAACTGATTCAGACAATCTGATTATGAACGCTGAAAGAGTACATAAAATATTTTCCACTAAGAAATCTATTATGATAACTGCAATCGAATAAATACTTGTGAATTATACATAACCTTTTCATTACCTTGTGTGATTTAGTATGGCAGAAAATTGAGTGTGAATGAAAGCCTTGTAGTTTAGTTTTTTCATCATGAGTTTTATTTTTTTTCTTTATGTTTAACATTATAACAAGTTTATATCAAAATTCTCATGCTACACTCATTATTTTTGATTTATATCCAATAAAAACTGTCTTGGGACAGTTTAAATGGTTTCTGTTAGTACAACTAAACTATTTACACATACAATTGGTTGTGCATGTATTATAGCTCACGATATTTTAATTTGAAGAAATTTATTCTAGAAAGTTTTCATGAGGCCTGAAGTTCATGTTCTAGGGTATTCTTTTCTCCTCATAAACTTTTCTATATCAAAACGCTTTCTTCATTTGTTAACTGGTTTTGTATATATAGGATCCACTTAAGGCCCACCAAAAGAATGGCTTGCTTTTAAACAAGGGCAACATCTTTATCTCAGAAAAAAGTCTTCCTTTCGTGCTGGACGCATACTCAAGGCAATTCAAACAAGATTTCTCTGATTTCCTAAAGTTCCGATCAATAGAAATGGCCACAGGGGGACGCATGGTGCTAGTTTTAATTGGCCGTATGGGCTTGGATGCTACTAGTGAAGTTACCCGACACATGGACGTGTTGTCATCAGCGCTCATGGACATGGTCCAAGAGGTTTGCCACCCCCTTTACTCATATCAGTCAATTTTCAACAGTTTGGTTTGGTATTCTCATGTGCATGGTGATCTAATTAAAGATTTACATATTGGACTCTAGAGTTGATAACCTCAATTAAATGTCAAAAATCCAAACCTACAAGAACAACTTGCAACATCAGATGTGATCATTTTACCTACGAAAAAAATAAAATTCTACCATAAATGTATACAATCTGTAGTATTATTAGGACAGTTTTTATTTAATTGATATTTGTCTTAACCAAAAGCTTGGACATTCAATTCCAAGACGATTTGGATCTATCCTAAATATCATTTGAAATAGCCATTTTTTTAGTTTTTAAATTCCTAGATGGAAACTGTACCATATTGATTTTCTTAAAAGCCCTTTGGGGAAATTTAAGCCTCCTCCCTCCTATCTTACTACCTCTATCTCCTTTTGTTCCTTTATTTGTGTCATTTCTTGTCATATGTTGTCTATTATTGAAAATAGCTCTCTTGCATTGAAATAACATAAATATTTGCTTTTTGAATCCTAGGGAAATGTTAGGAATGGCATGTAGATCTCATTTGAATATTACTTTGCATTTATTTAATCTTATAAAATTAATTGAAAGATGCATATTACTGATTTGTTGCACAGGGTTATATCACAGAGGAGAAAGTAGACTCCTTTAATATTCCGTTATATCCACCTTGCGTTCCGGAGGTTGCACATGAAATATTAACTGAAGGATCGTTTTCCTTGGATTACCTGAAAGTGTTTGAATTAGATTATGATATCGAGAGAAAGGAAGCTATTTCCAATATGACAAAAGGAGAAAGAGTGGCATTGAGTTTACAAGCAGTCTTCGAGCCATTACTAGCAAGTCATTTTGGAAGTAACATTATTGAAGGTTTATTCTCCAAGTTTAGTAATGCTATTGACAAAGGTAACTGTGAAAAGGAACGCAAGATGGCATATTTGATGGTGTCACTAATAAGAAAGTCTTAACAAAGACAAGGTTTGAAGGGATTGTTTGTGATTCCTACAAATTGTTACCCTGTTTTTGTGAAATAAAGTTGATGTACGTCCACCTACAATATGACAAAGGGACAAAGAATGGAAATCCGTTTACGAGAATAATTTAAGCCATTACTAGCAAGTCAGTTTGCAAGTAATGCTATTGAATGTTTATTCTCCATGTTTGGTAATGCTATTGGCAAAGCTCTCTGAAAATGAATGCAAGATGACGAATTTCATTGTATAATTCAAAAGAAAGTCCTAGGAAAGAGAGTTTGAACAGTTAGGTTGTGATTCCTACAGATTGCTACCATGTTGATGCTATATAAATTTTATGTACGGCCACCTCTTATTCTACATGTTTGCTCAAGAACCTTCAAGTTAATCATTAAGTTGGTGCAAGTGTATTTGCTTTCATATTCTAACACTCTACTACGTGGAGTAAAACCTTTTATTAATTCCTTCGTTGATCATTAATCACCATCAATACATTATGCTTTTGTAGATGCATGTGCCGGTAAGGTGCTGAGATAGTAGTTATATTTAGATTCCCTAATGAACTTGTTTTCATCATACCCATCGGAGCAAGTAATTGAATAAACCAAAATTGTTATTAATAATTTACATATGCATCATCAAGACGTGGAATGGACAAATCTTTTTTACACAGTAAAAATCAGGGGTAAACTAAAATAAAATCAGGAGTTATGAAGATACCTTAAATCTATGAATACCAACCAAGAATAAGGATTATGAGTCTCATTAAAGATTAAGTCGATTAATAGATTGCGAACTAAGGCTGCACATATGATTGTTTTTCTTTTCCATGATGGAGTATTTTTAACATAATTGATCAGAAAATAATGTTTCTGCATGAATAGCGAAATGTAACAACTTGATTCCAAACAAATGCAGATGGCTGGAGGGGGGGGTAAATTCTACTCTCAACCATTTGGATACAAAAATAGCGAGACTATCATTTTGAAATGATTGTGAGTTTATCCTTGATCGTTGGCTTATAAATCTTCATTATCATGAGTTAATAATTAGTAAATAATATATTTTTAGCCTTAACTCATGATAAATAGACTTATATTTGTGTTAAAGTGTGTAAAGTGATTTTTAGTTGATTAACATGAATTTTTGGGTAATTATGTAATTTTATAAAATTTTTATAGTCTTACTTTTGAGATAAATGATGAAAAATAAATTAAAATAAAAATATAGCGAAATGGGGGACCTACCGGCTAGTTGGGCTTGCAAGCAGGTCAGAAGTGCAGTCGAGGAGTAGCTGCGAGCAGGGGCTCAAGCGGCTTGAACTGATGGGGGCATGTGTGCACTACTCCCCTTCCACATCACTAGTGGCCAACCGGCTGTGGGGCAAGGAGTGGTCGTACACGTGCGAGAAAGGGACTTACTTTGAGATGTAACAGTACTATATATTCACCCGAAAATTCAGCACACAATCGATGTGGGACTAAATTTGCGTCACACCTTCCCTAGAAGGGGCGGACAATCAGCGTGGGTTCGAATCCTCCCAGACTCAAAAGTCATATATTTTTATTTGATTATCACGACTTTCCTACAGATTGTCGGGGAAGGATTAAACAATCAGAATTACTGGATCATCGGTAAAAATCTCGTCAACGCAATTTGCAGAGCATTGTTACTAAGATTGCTAAATGATTCACGATAAAAAGATCATGAATCCATTGAGTAAGTCATCTCCAATTGATCGACGAACAAGCTATCGTCGGGAAGAGGATGATCCATTGAGAGACGAGTTGCCACCTCTTGAGAGCATACCAAATGCGATGAAGAGCCTCCTCTTGCTACGCGGACCTGAGGATGAAGCTCCTTGACACGTGCCACACCTCCATCCAGCTCCTCTCCGTCGGGTGACAATCGTCAGAGAGCCGCAAAGTCACTATTTTTCCGCTCCACTAGGTGACAGCTGTCGGAGACGATTCGATGACCCATTTCATTAATCTCTAGACTTCACAAGGAGATCTAGAGATTACTCTCGTCGTCTTTATCCAAGGAGAGCCTTCAAGGCTATAGACACTATATGATGGTCCTCTCGAACGCTCAAGATTCTAGTGCATTGCCGACGCATCACCGTCGCGACGTCAGAACTCTATTTTCCTGCTTTCAACTTACTTTACACTTCATTTAGTGATAATTTATGTGATTTTAATTTACTAAAATATACTTCATTCAATTATGATTCTTCTGACTTTTACAGATCTTAATTTGATTAATTAAATCATCTGTAATCGCTTACCAATTCGCGTTCGTCGGGTGCTGACATCATCCTGACATCTGCACCCTTATTTTCTTTTTTTGTGAATTTTAAATATATTTCTTTTTTATTTCCTAGTATAAAATTTATAGAAAATCGTATTCTTTGAAGAAAATTCTAAATAATCACCAGATATTATATTACATCCTTGCAATCGCTTGAAAAATTATTGCTATTTTTGGAAGTTTTATTAAATTAGACTTGATATATTTGTTCAAAAATACTTCTAAATATCTGAAAAGTCATATTTTCTAGTTTTATAAATTTTAAATTTACATGATTTACAATACAATGACTAAGTCACGTCATTAGCACATCAAATGTCACGACTAAGTCTTGCATTAAATAATGCCATAAAACTAGAAAGTAGGATTTTAGGTAAATGACAAATATTAGAAATTTAGAAATTAGAAATCTTTGTGGAAAATTTATTTTGACACATGAGAATATGTAAACACTCATAAGATCCTAAGATTCCACACCATAAGATTGGAGATGGTTGCTCATTCATAGTCAATTTATGTTTAGATGAGTTCGATCATGAAAATATCATTTTAAATTGAGGAAAATAGACCAGCGTTTTAATAATCTCTTATTAATTCTGGGGTTTAATTTTTTCTCTTAATGTTAGAAGCAATGGCGATTTTTAAAATGGGGAGACAATATTTCATTGAGTACATAGGATGATAAAAAAGTGACTCTCCTATCCGTGCAATCATGTTGATAGGTAAAAAAACTATCACTGATTTAATAATTATTGAATAAGTTGTATCTTTACGGAAGGCTGATGAAAAGCGTCATACTTTATATGAATGGACTTCCCGGTACCTCCTTCGAGGAGGGGTCATATCACATGTGTTATCTGATTTTCTGTTTTCTACATTATTCTTACCAGCCGGCTCAAAGTGCTTCTTTCTCTTATCCTGATTAAGAGCTTCAGCTTGATAGCTGCTGACTGGAATCAGCTTATCATGCCTGACTTTACTAATCTTGTGGCATTGTTGATTACATCAAAGTCAACCTAAGAGAACATTTTGTAATTACCCTGTATAAATAAGATGCGGTCAGCTCAGTTTTTTGCTTGTATCTCAGGACCAGATGATCCAACGCTAGTTTGACCACTAAATTCAACTTCGCGATAAAGATAAAAGGGTCCTTTCCATCTTCCCTTCAAGGTAGATACCGTGTTAGGCCTTATTCAGGTGTGTGACAGACGTCATAAACGTCTAGAGGAACATCACACGAGTACAGATTTCATAAAAAGAGGAGAGGAAAAGACCAAAGGTACCAGCAACTCAGTTCAGCTTACTCCATAGGGTGCATACTCCCTACTGTTAATGGATATTAGATAAGAAATGTTTGCTATCACGAATAAACCCATTGTCTTCATGTGTTACGAATACGAATGATTGCACCGTGCCGAGCTCAGCTGCACTTCTGGGCAGAACCAACTATCTGTGGCGGCTAAAACAGGAAACTTCGTCGATGAGGGATATGACAGCTCAAGCAGCCTTCACCAAAGTTCTGGTTCTTCTTGGGTGACCTTTACTGGCATGGTTTCATGAGCATCTTCCACCCTTTCCAGGTTTTGTACAAGAAGAAGCAGGTGTTTGGAGGGCAAAGGACATTTACTGCAGCTTGATAGTAGGCGAAACTATTTCCTTCTGCATGAGGCACTTCGCAAGAGAAAGAATACCCATGACTGGCTTCTCATCATTTCCTTTGCCCTCTCGGGCCTGGGTAATTGATCCATATTTAGTTCCTTGCATCAAAAGCTACACCAATGATATTTTTTTGATATCATACACTGAAGATACTAAAAATCATTCATTTGATTCACCTTGAGTATGCACGAAGTGGGCGATAAAGAAAGAACTTGGAACAGCAGGACCTATGCTCATTCAGCAGGTTGGTACCTTCAGTTGTTTAAAAGAAGAATCTTTGTCAATGGTTTTATCCTCTCTGGAAAAGAAATTTGCATAAAAGAGTTTCAGTATGACAAGAAAATATGGGCCATGTAAATGTATCTTTGGCCATATTAGAAACAATTATATTGTCTAACTTACTGTAAGGTTTGGCTCACTATTTCACATTATAAGAATCCTCAAAGTTAGAGTTACAAGTTTAGGTCGCTATATGGCTAGATAAAGTAAGAGGGGGCTGAATTGGTATTTAATATTTTTATTTAATTAAGTGTAATCATTTTTATTTTTGATATACTAATATGTAAATTCTATCTGCCGATCAATATATAAATATAAAACAAGATAAGAAGAAATCATGCACACAAGATTTTGGAGTGATTTTGATCACTCTTTTGGCCAACATGCACTTTCAAGGACTCTGCCTTGATTTTATTATTCCACTACTAGAGTACATATGACTATGGGCTCAGCTGCTTCTTACACTATAGACTCCTTAAGTGTATGGATTTACATTAAAAGTTGTACTTCTAGTAGTTTTTACCTAGACATAAGCACATAAGAAAGCACATGACAGATACTAGGAAAGACAGGGTCACCACATGAGCCAGACTAACCAACCAATCACACCACGTGTAAAATAGGTATCCTAGTGTTAAAACTAGATTTTTGATGTTTATATATATATATTTGTGTGTGTGAACTTTTAGAATAAATACATCAATATATTGTTAATTTTGGAAGTCTAAATTTAAAAGACTTAGAGT